CACATAATAATCGTACATTGCTAATTTAATTTTTTTAATTTAAAACATCACATTCTTTTCTGATACTTATGGAACGACTAGGTATTATACCTGGTATTATTTCCAGTAATACAAATTATTTTCTACTGCTAGGTTCTTGTTATAGAATAAAGACTATCAAAAACATTGAATACCTACGGGATACTCATACTCTGTGCGAGCTCCCAACCGTGCTTCCCTGTTCACTCCCAACCAAGTTAGATAAAAAAGATACTGAAGATTGCAGCCTTGAGTTGGAGTATGGCAAGGAGTATGGAGTTAAATAAATTATTATGTTCCTACACCGTATTTTATTTATAGGTTTCAATGCTTTAAAGTCTAATAATAAATTTTCGTTGTCAACAAAATAATCTAAAAAAACTACGAAGATTTCTTATTATAAATTTGAAAGATTAAGATTCGGTTCAAATATACAAATTTTAAATTTTTGGCGCCAGTATATAGGTATGAATGCAACCTACTATATTGATAATGCGCTCATAGTTCGGGTTAGACGCCAAAGGCAGCGCCACTAACACAGTCTTCAAAAATTAATCGGTCTCTCTCACTTTAGGTTGATCGGTCTCTCTCACTTTAGTTATTAGTGTTCTCTCTGGCGACTCGATAGTTAATAAATAAAAGTCGAAAAATATTTTTAATCTACGACAATGTCATTATGACACATTTCACATTGTCATTTGGGTGTCATTATGGCTTTCATAATAGCACTAGTGGCACTAGTGCTATTATGAATTCATAATAACACGCAAATTTTAAAATAAGAAACAAGCAAAAAAATGTACCTAAATACGTTTATTTATTGTCAACATTATAATATCAGTACAATTGGTTAAATTAATTCCTGACGAAGACAGGTGAGTTAGTTTTTTAGTTTAGAAAGTAAATTTATTTCCTGAGTGATGCTTGGACTTGTTGAAGACCGACCCATCATTGCCAGAAATGTTACCCAAAATATTACATGACACTTTTTTCTTATTTTCTCTGGAATTTTCTATATAGCTCTCTGCCACTGTGTGAGAGCACCAACCACCATGTCTTTTAACAGTTAATAAATCCATTCCTGAATCTCCAAGCATCGACGCAGACGATCTACGGAAACAATGTCCAGTGTATTCTTGTGGATTTGGAAGACTTAGGAACAATTCTATTTTATACGGCACTTTCCCCAAAATATTAATGCCAACGGGTTGCTTAATACATTTTCCATTTCTCTACCCCACAAAAAATCGAGTATGCTCTGTGTTGCTTGGACACATAGCTATATATCTTCGAACCATTTCCACCATATTTATTCCTTCAACATTCCCTTTCGTTATAAAAAAAATCTCGTGATATCTTTGTTTTTGTAAAAGGAATAATGACATGAATGCATTGTCCTTCATCTTTAACATTTCGCAGCTGCAGATTTGTCAACTCGATACGCCGCGCCGGCAGGCTCCCGCAAGTCTCACTATCAATGAAACTTTGGTCAGGAAATACGTTTTATCATCGGCTTCCAATAAAAAACGAGTTATGTCTTCTTTTCTTAAAATTCTCAATTTTTTTGACGGGAATCCTTATGATTTTCGTTTTAGAAATGCAATTAAATGGACGTACTTACTAATATCTGTATTTTTCTTCACTGATATAACTGAACGTAGCATGGAATAATATACCCAAAGTGATGAAGCCTTCCTATGTTTTGAAAGGTGTCCAAAATATGCCAGGAGAACCTTTTCGTTACTACTATTCTTGATTCCTTTCCCTTTACACCAATCTTCATGTTTTACATAGGCTTGCTCGTACGTTTGTCTTGATGTTTCGGGAAGTAGGGAATCGACAACGTTTTGCATAAAGGGCAAAAGGGACACTTTCAGAATCATCCATATTAATATTATTTTTTGCTTTTTGCTAAAACTGAACGTTTGACACAAAATTGAACATCAATAATTCAGTTGTCAAAGTCAAAATGGAAACAATCAACAAGCACGGTTACCTCGGCGTCGACTAATATGGGCACATGATAATTTTGAATTTTAATTTTTATGAGGATATCTCTGATATTTTAAATTAAATCAAATCTCTTGGGATCGTCCCTCGTGTCGCGTCGTAGATTAAATTTTGAATGATACACGTTCGATACGAACTTTTTAATGAAACTTGTGTAACTAAGCCACTCGGCTAATGCCTCGTGGCTTAACGTTACACGCGTTATTATAATAATGTTCGTATCAAACTTGTGTCATTAATAACTATAACAGATCACATATAAACCACTCCCTAGATTCATATTACTTGCTATAAATTATTAATTAAAAAGCTTGTTTTCAACGTATAGGGAATGGACCGCGCGCGCCTGCAATAGGTATTTAACAGCATTCAGAAATTTACTTGCCAGCTTTATAATGCAAAAAAATTAATTGACGTTGATGCTAAAAGGTACCAACTTTTCGACAGCAATTATACAGCTTCCAACGTCAATTAAAACTTCAGCTAAAAAATACTTAATTTTGATGCAAGCCCAAATACCAACATGTTAGAGTGAGCTTTACCAGCAACTTCTAAGAGCACATTATATTTCAACAGTTTGGACAAATGCTCACAAAAAACAAACCGACGACATTAGACCCGTTAGAGTATGGTTGGATTGAGCAAGACGAGAAATTTGTGTTCAAATGATTCGAAGGAAATCAACTTCCAACCTTTGTGAGTGACTTAATTACCCAAGTCTCTGGTAAGTTCATAGTAATCAATTCTTTATCGACTATGTTCGGATTAATTTACAAATTACTTTTATTTCATAATTTACGTTTTATTTTTACAGATTCCTATTCAATGGACGATGAAGACGAGTCACACCATGAAAAACATGATTCCGATGACGATGAATAAAAATTCAAATTGATAAAAAAGAAATTATAAAATAAATTTCTTTTTTATCAATTTGAATTTTTATTCATACAGAATATGCTGCCGAAGTTTCCGGAATACAATTCGGACAACCCTGTAGAATAGCGATTTAAAAATAATAGGTAAAGCGATTCTTCAAGAAAAAAAATTGTAAATATACTAACCTCAGATGGTTCACATGACGGGTCCGGAAAATACCTACAAGCCCAAGAGAAAATCAGACAAACGGCTTTCTCCTGGGGTAACAATACCGTCATCAAATGAATCAGATCTTCCTTGGCCTTTTCAGGGACCACTGGCCACCGGTGTCCAGATCTGCAATGATTGAATTTAATTTTGCAACTTCGGCACACTAAATCGGCAATAATTAACTTATATTGTTTGGTTGAGAAAGTTGTTGATTTTAATTTTGACTTTCAAAGCGTTCTCGTAGTTACTCATGGCGTTCCTTACATCCAGATCTTCGTCTTCCAGTAACACCATAACTATATTGATGACGGTACACAGTTCATCGCCTAAAATAATGGTTTATACAGGGTGACTGTTCCAAGATAAAATATACTATTGTTTGAAATTTTCACTACACTTTTTTTTAAATAATATGTGGGCAAAGTTGGGCACATTTTAAAAATATTTCTACTTATAGGCTAGGCGCATTCTTGCCGGTGCTGCCACCATCGGAGAATATCGAATATGCGTGCAATATTCACGTTTTAAATTCATTTTTTTAAATTTTGTCTTATATAAATAAAAAGAAGAAAATCAAATAAAATACTTGAATGATTATTTGCTGACTGCGTTATACCTAGATATTTGAAATTCTTTACTTTTATATCATCAACCTTATATGATTTATAGTATATTGTTGACAAAATTAAATATTAATTTCTATAAATACAGTGATAGAGTAAATCATATTGATGTAAAACAGGGAACGTCATAAACGTACATCTGATCGGATAGCAGTCACATTTTGTTGTCTGCTGAAGTGTGTACTCCATAAAGACATCTGCCGTGATTAATATAAGTTTATAGGACCTCAATAAATAAAATATATCAATGGCAGATCTGGTCTACTTTCAAAATTTTATTTTTTTTTCAGCACTTTCAAAACTGTTTGCCACAATGTTAACGCGCGATAATGGTCTGCCATTGTAGTTATCCGATAGTAATAATATATATTTTCAAATTGCAAAACGGCAGACTTGGTCAAAAACATTTAAAATTTACCAAAAATCGATACCTGTCTTACCTGGGCGCCCGCCGCGTCCGCCACGTTGGGCTTAGTGAGTCCCCATATCATCATGTACAGTAAGTATAAGGGCCTCACTGTACAAAACCCTAGGTCTGGTCAAATAGCCCTTTCACTGGCTCTTAGACTATATAGCACACATATCAAGTACATAAATATAAATTCAGCAAAATAATTATCGAATTCAATAAGAAAACACTAAAAAGTTGAAGTGGACTGTTTATTTACCTATCAAACGTAACTCCTGGCTTTTTCTTACTGCTGCGGCTTTTACACTTGAAAGCTGAACAACTAATCACCATTGTAATAAAGTTTATACAAAGTTTACCACACACAAACTATTAAAAATCGCTAAAATTGTCGCTGATGACCAGCTGATAATCATTCGTTACTGCAGCCCGTAAATGGGCGTTACATTTTCTTGTATTTCTTTAGAGATTGGTTTCGACACTTTAGTTTTGTATTACAAGTTTTTGGTTTAAATGAATTGTGTTGTGATATTTTAAGCTTAAATATTTTTACCAGCAAACCTAGCAGACGAACATTGTTCTTTTTAGAACCTTTTTTAGTGCGAAGTGTACAAGCTTAAAAGCCGTAAAAAACTCATCGCAACTTTATTGGAATATTTTGGTGGTGAAATGATATTTTGGAGGTGAGTTTTGTTGATCTAAATAATAACTGTTTATATATTTATTTTTCTTTCCAAAAATATTTTGATTAAAAGAAAATATGTAAAAGTGGGTAACTCTGTGTCGGTTAAGCTTAACCACGTGACTAAAAGTTTATTTGATATGAATTATATGATGTATGTTTTTCATACTTCTCCAGATCTGCAGGAATTGCATCTACATCTAACATTTGACAAACTAAACCAACGTGAAACCACTTATCTATACATTTCATTTGTATTACTTTAAATGATCGCATTTTTATAATTTCAGTGGCCACGGGACTTATAAGGCTTCTTAAACCCATAGTGCCAACCGTAAACACTAGATTTAATTTTGATAAAATGCTTAGCAGTACCCAGGACTCGTCGTCAACATATTCTGTATTGTCTATTGCTATCACCCAAAAAACAGAAAAAGTCTGAAAAATTATATATTTATAATATAACTAGAAAACCCGTTAAAACTTTAATTCGGACGTTCAATCACTGAGTTAGGTGTAGTTATCTGAAAACAATGAAAAGGTGCTTCCAAACAAAATTTTTAATCTAAGCCTAGCTTACCGCATAACAAAATCCCTTAAAAATTCTTTTTAATTCTTTGTATTTGACTTTCCTGTCCATGAAATGGAAACCCAATGGTTCACTAAAGTGTACGTTGAAAATGTTGTTTAAGTAATAGGAATTCCCTTGCATATTAACTTTTCCTAATCGTCTTAGAATCTTATTTTCTTTTTCAGTGGATGAAGTTTTTTCAGTAAGTCCCAAAACAAAGTTGAATATTAATCTTATTGAGGTATAAGACTTCTAAAAAAGAAATAATCAAATAAAAGATATGTTCATTGGCGGATACAGAGGGGGTCCATAGGGCCCGGGCCCGGGCCCGCCCTAAAATCTATGAATTGGGTTGAATATTGGCTTTTGGGTTAAAAATAGCGCTCTAAAAGCATATTCTACATTATTTTTTATTTGCCCCCCCCCCCTAAAATAAATTTCTGTATCCGCCTCTGGATATGCTCTTACAATTGTTTTACTTTAGAGTTTCATGGAAACCTATAAAAGTATTAATTGGCGTAGAGGAGATCGAGTACAGGTGTCAATATTATTGGCACTTACGGAACTCTGTACCCCAGAAGCAAACAAACAAAACAAAAAAAAAAGTCACAAAACATAGTTTTGAGAAAAAGGAATTTAAAGTTCTTTTTTGAAGTTATTTCCTAATTACTCGGTTATTTTTAAACCTATGATTGTAATATTTGGTGCATGAACAAATTATTTTGAACTTTTTTTTTGATTGGCTTAACATAATTTGTATATTGAAAAAAGAAACATTTACAGGATTTAACTTATACTGACCTTAACTTATATTAAGTCCCTATTTATGCTAAAATGAATAAAGCTAAACCATTTTAAGTTCAAATAATAGTATATTACTGATATAATAATAGGACAACATTTAACAGAAAATTGCAAAACAGGTGTTATGTTGCAATTTGGAACCAGGGCCGCTATATGAGGTAGACATATTCGGTGTTAAGATTTGAACGCCGGTGTTAGGTGTTGATGACCACTGGTGTCTCAGTCGGTGTACCGCTGTCAACACCGACACCGGTGTTTATCTCAACACCGATGTTTACAAACATTACGATGTCGGTGTCGGTGTCGATGTCGATGGTACCGTTTGTTTGTTTTTTTAGTTTTTTTAATGTAATATTTTTTAATTTATTTTACAGCTACGAATTTTTGTTTCTTTATTCTGTTTTTGATTAAACAATTTTTTACTTTATAATTGTTTTTCTGACGCTTCCACTTTATTTTAGTGATTAGTCTGGCAAAAAAATATATTTAAATTTGAAAGCTTGAAGTTAAAGTTGGTGCGCTTTAATAAAAGATAAAAATATGCACCGATACAACATTATAATTATCAGGTTTATTTTAAACTTGTTAATTAACATTATTTCTTTTTTAACCTGTTTACCAAACACCAGTGTCTATATCAAAACCGGTGTCGTAGTCAAAACCGGTATCGAGATGAACACCTGTCCAGACCAACACCGGTGGCGAGATGAACACCGGTGTTGTAGATGAACACCGGAACACCGGATAGCCCATATTTGGCCACCGGTGTTAGCCCATACACCGGTGTTAAAACGGTGTTCTGGTGTTTGGAACAGGCCTAATATGGGGAGCGGCAATTTTTTAATGCAAACTGGGAATGTCCTTCATTATCATTAATCATAAGTCTAAAAATCTTTAATTATATGCAAAAAGTAGGGATAAGTGACTTAATATTCCAAAAAAATCCAGTATTTAATTTAACGTCTATTTATTAAGTTTCATATATATAAAAAGACTTTCAAAAATATCACATTTTCAACTAATTTAAAAAAAATCGTATGAATGACACAAGACAAATTCAATCCAATAAAATATTTTCCAATTCAGTAAATTTATTTCGCTAACATCATTACTTTTTAGAAAATTAAAAAACTAATTACACATTCTCATAGCCACTTTGTTAGGGCTATCTAATAGTATTTTTATATTTTCAAATTGGCTGAAAAATTGTCAGATGCAGCTGCCAACTTATTTTTTTTAAATACGGACCTGCATTTTTTATTTCAGGTTTTGAAAGAACTCCTGAGTACAAATACTGAGTACAGTTTGGGTACCTTAACAACAATAAAACTATTTAATTATTATTTAAAATAACTTCAAGTCCCACTCTGGCTGTTTAAATTATTTAATCTGATTATATTCATCGCAGTAACATTGAGCAGCGCTAATTATTTAACTTCTACAAACTAGTTTCTAATGCTCTACATGTTCGAAAGGGTTACCAGTTACCACCCTCCCTATTGCACAAATTTATTTTTCGTTCAATTTTATTTATAGCTCTTTGAACTTTCTTCTTATACTTCCGAATGCATTTTGTACTCTTTATTTGTAAATGCCCAAAATAGCTACCCCAAAATAGCTGCTTTAATACATTGACTTATGATATTTTCTGGTAGCTTCAGCTCCTTTAAGTTGTTCTCAAAATCAATGTGAACCAGACCATTGCTTGAACTGATGAGTGGTATTATTCGGGATGCTTTTAGATGATAGGTTTGCCTCATATCGAAAGCCAAGTCTTGATACTTCGAAATTTTTTCCCTTGCAGTTTTGACTACGCTGTGATCTAGTGGTACAGCTACGTCGATTAAGTAGGCTTCCTTTTCGTTTTTATCTATCCAAACAATGTCCGGCATATTATGAACTACTGATCTGTCTGTCTGTATTTGCGTATTCCAGTATACTTTATGATGTTAGTTTTCCTCTAATTCTTGTAGCCTGTATTCAGAATATTTCTTTTCAGAGTTCTTGATTTTTAGATACTTTAGCATTTCTAGGTGAATAACCTTTGTTATGTTGTCGTGTCTTTCCGTGTAGTGGACTGACGCAAGACTCTCACATCCAGACATACAGTTTTGTTTTAAAATGTGCCTCCTATAAACTCTAGTGCTAACCACTTGATCTTGTATTGCACATATGAAGCCCTCGGTTTCTCCCATGAGGTTAATGTTTGTAAGGAATTGTATAGATCCACTTTTATCAATTCCTTCTGCCTGGCTTTCGTTGGCATACTTTCCATGCAGAGGCTTTCCTCGAAGTTCACTCAGCTGTTCCTGAACCGATGGAACTTCCTTTATATTATTTTTTATTATTTTATTGCATTTGATTTTCCGTATTCAATGTTTTACCCCACGTCAATGTTAAGTTTGAAAGCTTATCAATATTGTAACGATGAATAGATTTAATATTTAAAAATATCAGAGCCGGACTTGAAATTATTTTAAATAAATTGTGTTCAAATGTCCGGAACGAAAAAAAATTAAGTGTGGCGTATCATTGTACTCAGGAGACCGAGTTCTTTCAAAACCTGAAATAAAAAATGCCGGTCCGTATTTAAAAAAATTAAGTTGGCCTCTGTATCTCACAAATTATCAGCTAATTTGAAAACATAAAAATACCATCAGATAGCTCTAATAAAGTGGCTAGAATAAGTAATTAGTTTTTAGATTTTCTAAAAAACGACGACAGGAAAAAATGACGACAAAAAAACGTTTTTTTCCAAAAAAAGCAGCAATCCTTGAAATATTTAAAACTTTTTTGATCCCAAAGTGCAAATTTGCCCCAATTTAACCATGTTCTTGTCTATTACGGTTACCGAGATACCAATGCTCGTACCCCGAATTTGTAGCACCCTGTATAGATATATACAACAAAAAGTTATTACTCTTCAAGAAAGTTAAAAAACATATAGTTGGCACCCTCTACAAGTAGGAGTCATACGTAGTCATACTGGTATCGAAAGCCGAATTTCTCGTGTCTAAAATCACCCAGACACTGATTTCATCCAAATATCGACGTTAGTTCCGATTATTTGGAAATAATCGATATAAAAATGAAAACTTCTACACCCTGTATCTCCAAAACGAAGCATTTTAGAATATACATTTATACGAACTTGTTTACTTATTTCATCTGCAGAACATGCTGCCGAAGTTTCCAGAATACAATTCGGACCACCATGTATATTGGCTCTTGCAACGTTCAGTCGCAATTGTCAACAGACAACATTTTTTAGTGTTTCTAAAAAAATATATTGCTGTATACCTGTGAATCTGTTTTCGTCAAAGTAACTCGACTAATAGGTGTCGCTGGATCTGTAGAAAATATCAGTTCCTCTAACAATCGAGTTTTTCCTTGCCTCGATTCGCCCTGTATTATGAGCATGCCAAAAAATTCTCCCTCGTTTATTTTCATCGTAGCTGATTCCTTGGCCACTTTATACAAGTGCAAGTATAAATCAAGTTCTTGCTCTCTGCCGAGTAGAGGTCTTATGGAGACACTCAGGGCTACGTCCCTAGTACTGAAATAGATCATTGAAATTTATTGTCTTATCTCCACGTTTTTATTGCATTATTTATTATTAAGAGAATTATTTTCAAATATTAGTTATTATCATGAAGGTTCACCTTTCCACTTCTTTAAATTCATATATAGGGCCGGGATTAACTATGCCTTTCAGAGGCTTGTACTTTTGTAGGATAAAGTTTTTTGATTCAAGTTTGCTGTGCAAAAATGTCTCTCTATCGCACGTCACCCTGTTTGGATACGCAACCATCAAACGAGCGGCTTTGTTAACTATTAAACTTATAACTGTATATTCTCTACGTAATGAATGTCCAAATGCTCCGCAATATGTTTTTCCTAATAAATTAAACAATACATACATTTAAAGAAACATCACAGAAGCTTTGAATTATTTTCCAGTTATTTCAGTTGAATCTAGAAGTATCTTGATTTGTTCCTATCTCATTAGTTTTAGTGGTTTTAGTTTTTAAATGGGTTTGGGAATTTTGTATAAATTGTGTGCAAAAATAAATAATTTGTTTTTAATTTACTTTTCAATATTTTCTCTTGTTTAATTATTTTGATCGGAATGTTCTTATTAAATTCAAATATTTCTAAATTCAAATCTGCACTCAAATGCTAACTCTGATACTGGACAGTGCGCGCGATAGTGCTGGTCCAGGACCAGGAGGCACTGATTTTTTTTGTACTTATTTTTCAAGTTAGTGAATATATGTGTATAGAAGTACCGTATGATCGAATAAAAACAGCGTCAGCGATGGCTATGAAATGAAGATCAATGATATTTCCCATATAATGGAATAATAATGGCATATAATAGGAAATGTCATCGATCGTTATTTCATGGCCATCGCTGACGCCGGACGCCGTTTTTATTCGATCACACGGTATATTCGGATGTGTGTGGTGATATTAAATGACAATTTGTGAGTCTGACTAAAATTTTCGGATGGGTTCACTAGATAAAAATAAAATAAAATAAAATAAAATTAAATTAAAGAAATTATTAACACTAATAATTATGGAAAGATTAAAAAGGGATAGAATATTTCCAGATATTTAAATCTATTTTCAAAAAATTATTATTTCTCGAATTATTTTAAAGTACACCGCTAAGGAAAACTGGCAGTAAGCGCCATTAAAAAATAAGGAAGAATACGGGCCATGTAAATGACGTCTAGGGCTTGACCTCGCCAAAAGTATCGTCGATTGTCATCTCCCAGCTGTCTTTGACGCCGTTTTTTTCTATCGTATGGTATAAAGAATCCCAAACCAAAGAATTCTAGCAAAGGAAAACACTAAATCATCACAATACAGCAAACCACTTTTACTTTTACACTGGACGCGCGTTTTGCTAACCATGATAATGAGGTAATAAGGACAAATGCTACCTGTTGTGACAGCTGCTCCTACACCCATTATATTTTCAATTTTAATTAAGCTGTCGTAACACTCTTTGGCACATTTCAAAGCTATTTGACATTCCATTTCGTGTTTTAGACCACGCAAACCGAAAATAACCAAAACTAGCAGATCTTTATCGAATATATTGACTTTATTTAGACATCCATAATTATCTTTTACTATCCTAAGAGTAAGCAGATTTAAAATAGATATATTTTTATAAAAAATTTAACTTAAATTGAGACAATTCGACGACCATATCTTTACATCCCGTATATTCAAAATGTAAATATAATCTGTCAAAGATTAAGATCTAACACAACTAACTTTCCTTTAAATTAAAAAAATAATTTAAATAAAGATAAATTATATATTTCTGTCAATTTTTCGATCTCGTCTGTCGAATGTGTCCTTTCTGTCGTATAGACTATGCATATACAGGGTCAGGCAATAGTGCGTAGGGCATTTGTAGCTCCTAGAATACAAATCTTGAAAATTTTGTTTCAGTGTAAACCTAAAGTATGTTCGATGATGCATTTCAAGAAAATATCTTAACTTCTATAGGGTAGCTCAAAAAAGTGTAAGTGGATCAGGATGATTTTTTTAAATAGAACACCCTGTTTATTATTGCATTTTTGGCTTACTTTGAGATGACTTTACATAATCCTACGATATGAGGATATATATTTTGTTAACTTCACAAATGAACTGAATAAATAAATAAAAAATATGTATTTTTCAACCTTCCTAAAAAAAATTATTGCAAATGCAAAAACCTATCCTGAAATCAACAACAATAATTTATTTTAGATGGTCTGTACTTAACTTTGCTATAAATATCATAATCTTAAATCATACAGGCTGTCCAAAATTCTACGCCAAAGTTTCTAAAACATAAAACAATATTTCTTTGTTTTTATTTTTAACAACCTGTATTTTTTTATTATATGGAGAGTTAAAAGATGATCATTTGTTGTATTTAAAGGATTTCAAAATTTTGCAGATACACACAGTATTATTTCTTATGTCTCGGTCAACGGTAAAATACGAGAGAAAAATTATTGCGTTGGGTGGCTTTGATAAAAATTTACTGTGGAAAATGCCATATGAAATATAAAACAGCGAATATCTGCGAAACAGTTAAACATTTTAAAATACTCTAAATATAAAAAAATGTTCATATTTTAATTCTCTCTCTACTGAAAAAAATGATATACAGGGTGTTCAATTTAAAAAAAAACAAAGAGAAATTATTTTATAATTTAGAAAATTTGGCGTAGAATTTTGAACATCCTGTATGATTTACGATTACTATATTTATAGCAAAGTGAGTAAAGACCATTTAAAGTAAATACCTAATTTATAAATGTGGTTTTTGTCTTTGACCACAGATAACACATAATCCAGATGGCCATTGCTTACGGAACAGCATGTTTTCGATGAGACAGTTCCCGATTAATGACACAGAGGGCGCCTATAGCCAAATCTAATAATATTTTTAAAACGAACGAATTTGGAGCCACACCACGGCCACGCGATGTGAAGCGACGTAGCTGGTTGTTCACATTTATAAGCAAATTCCCGGTCAAACCCAGGGAAAATGTATATTGGGACTTTAATACTAGACAATTGGATATGAAAATACTAGTCGCAGTGGATGTTTGAAAGTCAGAATTTCTAGATGCATATGTATGCTATTTATAGCCATGAAATTTATAATTTAGATTTTATTTTTATTATTTGTCTCTTAATATTCATTAGCTGAAAATAAGGGTAAAGGTTATCTATATAGTAATAAATAAAATTTGGCACATAGGTTCCTTAAGTGATGTAAATGAGCACTAAGAAGGGATGTTTTGAAAATTCGACCGCTAAGGGGGTGAAATTAGGGATGAAAAGCTGCATAAAAATTTGTTAAAATCTGGTTTAAGAGTATGAAATTTTTCACGAGTGCTCCTTGACTGACGTAATTGAACACTAAGGGGCAATTTTTGGAAATTCGCTCGTTAAGGGGGTGATATGGGGGGTACATTTGTATACAAAAAAAAGCATGTCCTAGGACTACGAAATTTTGCACAGAGGTGCCTTAAGTAGCGTAACAGTTCGATTATACAAAGCGATTTTAGGAAATTCTTCTACTAAGGGGTGAAACTGGGGGTGAAATTTTGCATACTTTTTTAAAATTAGTCCGAGGAGTTTGAAATTTGGAAATTGTTAATTAAGTGACGAAAGTGAGTACTCAGAAGCGAATTTTGGACGAAATAAGGGATGAAAATAGAAATAGCGAAGAAATAAGGGATGAAAATTGGTATAAAAATTTGTTAAAATCGGTTTTAGAAGTATGAAATTCTGCGTAGACGTTCCTTATGTAACTTAATTTAGCACTAAGAGACAATTTTAGGAAATTTTCCCTCTAAGGGGGCGAAATGAAGGGTGAACGTTCTGAAAAAAAAATCTATCCTAAAAGTATGAAAATTTGCACAGAGGTTCATCAAGTAATGAAAGTTATACTCAGAAGCGAATTTTGGGCATTCATCCCTTAAGAAATAAAGGATGAAAATATGTACAAAAATTTGTTAAAATCGGTTTTAGAAGTATAAAATTGTTCGCAGACGTTCCTTATATAAGGTAATTTAGCACTAAGAAGCAATTTTTCGAAATTTTCCCTCTAAGGGGGTGAAATGAGGGGTGAACTTTCTGAAAAAAATCTGTCCTAGAAGTATGAAAATTTGCACAGAGGTTCCTCAAGTGATGAAAGTGAGTACTCAGAAGCGAATTTTAGGCATTCGCCCCATAAGAATTAAGGGATGAAAATTTGTACAAAAATTCATTAAAATCGGTTTTGGAAGTATGAAATTTTGCGCAGACGTTCCTTATGTAACGTAATTTAGCACTCAGGAACAATTTTTGGAAATTCGCCCTCTAACGGGGTGAAATGAGGTGTGGACGTTCTGAAAAAAAATTGCTTGTTATTGCTAAATTACGTTACATAAGGAACAAACAGAATTTCATACTTCTAAACCCGATTTTAACAAATGTTTGTACAAATTTTCATCCCTTATTTCAAGTGCAACTATATAAAAATTATACAGGGTGGCGCCTCTCATACGACTCGGAGGCTCCAAGGAGAACGACCAGTTCGTATTGAAATGAAATTTTGTGAGCATATGTAAGTTAATTCTGCGCACGTTTTAAAAATATAGAGAGTTCTACAGGGTGTCCCCAAAAAAAGTTACACATCAAATTTGTGTTTTTTTGTAACGGAATACCCCCTTTATTAATTAATTTTTAGATTCTAAGAGAAAAATAAAGGTGTGTTTTATTAGGGAAGTATATGACTGAAATGTAAGGTTTTAGACTTACTTAAGATTTTGAAGAACAATTTTTAAATTTCAAGAAAAACTACCTAAATTGGAATTTACTCTATTGCACTTTAAATCAAATTAAAACCTGACCCATAAAGTTATACAGGGTGGGGCAAAATTAATGCTGAACATTGGTATAACCTGTATAACTCCTTTAATACCCACCCTGTATAACTCCTTTAGTTTAATTGAATCACCCAGAATATTATTCCGATATTCAATGGGAAATTCATGTCACTTCCAAATACTATTAAGGTTGCCGGCCTACCCCTCAAACAAAGATTTTCCTAGATATTTTCATTTCTATGATTTAGTGTGAATAGATCTTTATTATTTGATAAAATCTAGGGTGGCTGTGATATGTCTGACGTTACCTCAACTTAGCTGTCAAATTAGTTCAACTTTAGCAACTAGTTATCATTTTGGATCAGTTCGTCAGTTGAAACAAAAGAAAATCTAAGAAATTTTCCGAAAATAGAAACTTATCCTACATCAGAGAGAATTGATATGATTCTATTAGTTAGCTCCTGATTTTATCTAGTCTGGGTTTTTTATTTGATTAACATATATCAAATAAAAAAGCCCAGACTAGACAGTGTTAACAAAACTCGACCAAACCAAACTATTGTCTGAAACTGCATTTTTTTACTTACTAAATATGAATTTTACTTTGTTTTGTTGATCTTTGAAAGGTGCATAAAGTCGAATCATTTTAGATTGGACATTTAAATTTTATGGGATTTTCGGGATCCCGGAATTTAATATCCGGATTTTGGAGATAAACATACACGCCGCCGGGATCCTGGGAGTTCGGGATTTCAGGAAACTTTAGGGTACGAACATAGTGGAGGCAGGTTTCTGCTTTCCGGCAACCAGCGCCGTCTCTGGGGACCTATTCTTGACCACATATCGCTCACATCTCGCATCTCCGAAAAAGCCATATAACAATACACGTGATGCGTAACTTTGCGTATATGCCGTGTATTGTTATATGGCTTTTTCGGAGATGCGAGCAGGGTTCGGAAGTAGTTAATTAAGAGGAAATTTACCTGATTAACTAACCTAACCTAACCTAACCATATCCAAACGCCGCTCCCGCCGCGCCGGCCCCGCACATAGGGGTATTTGGTCTATAAACCTGGCCAAAAGTGAAATCTTTTTATTTTCATTTTTTATCTTAACTGAATACAAATCTATAAATACTAAATGTAAGCGCGTTTATTAGCTTTTTTTAAGTCGTAAGTTGACTATCTAATAAATAATATATTTCAATTATAAGTATGAATTATCTTGAGTGTATTCTGAAAATTTCTAAGATTATAAAATAGTGGAATTGTTTGTAGTGCTTTTTTTGCAAATTGTTTATAATATCGTTCGATTGAAACGTTTCCTTCTATTCTATTTCTTTATAATGTTTTATATTTAAAAAATCAGAGGCATTTTTATAAGGTGTAAGACTATTCGGCAATATTCCGCATGGAAATTAGTATCCGTTCAATGCTTAAAGTCTCCAGCTTTGGAATATGTACAAAAATCTTGCCAATATTTGCCACTGCCAAAAAAAACATTGATTTAAATAGATTCTTAAAGGAAATAGTCTTTACCCTATAACACCCATCCTCGCTCAAATATCGTCTATAATATACAAATTACTTTCTTGTTCTAGCATCCTCATCCAATTGCTTGGTTTTGCACAGAATGGCCCTATTTGATCGGTGGAAAGGGTTTCAGAATAGAGGAAAAAATATTGTGTAGGAAAAACAAAATGAGGTTCCATATTAGCACCCTCTCCTCTAATAATTAATATTACTAGCAAAAA